GGTATTATTGTATTTAATGATATATGCATAACAGAGGAGAGAAGAAGCTTAGGGAGTTTGCGTAAAATGATTTAGAAAAGGTTGTGTATTAAGGAAAATTATTAATTTTTGAAGCAGTTGCATACTAGCTTTAATTTATGTATTTTGAATTTTGATTTATATATTTTATAAAATAAATAGAGGAAAATAAACTAAAATAAATAAATAAATAAATACACGGAACCAATATACATCACAATAAAAAAAAAAGTTACTGAGAAAAGTAAATTTTAACGAGATATTGACCATAGAAGTGAATATATTTTATTTTTTTTTATTTTTTTATTTTTTTATTTTTTTTGTTGGTTGGAAAAGACATAAAGAAAAGGTTTATTCCAATTTACTTTAAAATAAAAAATAAAAAGCAATGGAAATGACCACCAAATAAAGTTACGGTAACGATAACTTTTGGAGCGGTAAATTCAACTTACAAACAGACAGAAGGGCTTTTCTATTTCTCTCTCACCCATTTTCTGTTAATTCCCAGGTCAGCCGATAAAGCGTGCGATTTGCCCAACCGTCTATAAGAGAAACACCCACGACAAAATGGAATGTAGCAATATTCATTATGCTGGAGAAGTTTCATCATTAATTTTTCCCCACCAGGGTTCTCAATTTTGCCTGCCATGGATCCCTGGATTCACAGGTTCAGGCATCGCCTCCTCGCATGGTTTCATCGATCTCGTTCTGGTACTTCACTTCTGCGCTTCGATTTCGCCCTTTTTTTGTTTGTTTATATTTGTAATGTGTTTCGCATATTTGATTTTGTTGGCACTGGTGAATTTCAAGCAAATATGATATTTGGTCAATTGGTCCATTGGATTCCGTGAGGCTTTGTGACGATTGTTGATTGTTGTGGTTGAATTATGATGCTTCTCTGTAGCTTGGCTCTGAACTGTATCGGAATTTGGAAATTGGACGTTGACTGTGCTTTCACGTGATATTTTTACGTGCAAAATTGTTAAAGAACGCATTTCACATGAGGAATTCAACGTTTAAATGATTTTAAATCTTGCGTTATAATCTACAGGATTTTCCTTACCTTTATTCTCGTCCTGTTATGAACTTTTCGAATTTCAACACCTCATTTTCTAAAGGCGTCGACGAGCTGCTCTTGCTCATATTAATGGCACCTAGTATCGATTTGAGCGATATTATACCCAATCATACACTTAGCGGCATTATACATACGTCAGGGGCTTTTTCTTTATGTTTTGTGCTGATATGTTTGTCTGTTTCTGCATTTTTCATTTTCAGCGATCTAAATCCTATGGATTTAGATCACATCACCTATTTCCTGCAATAATGTTCTTGTACTTTTATATGTCTGGAAACAACTACCTAAATATAACTCAATTGACTTTCTATTTCAGTGCCAATATTATACGTGAGGCGTTTTTCGTACAGGGAAATAAAAAGGGCAACTGGTGGGTTCAACAGAGTTGTCTACACCAATCCTCAGTGTGCTGCTTATAATGCTAGATTTCAAGATGGCAGTGTTGCATTGGTAAAAGAACTGAGAGCTTTGAATGACGATGTCTTCAAGACGGAAGTGCAGCTCCTTGGACGCTTGCACCATCGTCATTTACTTACATTGAGAGGCTTCTCCACAGGGCATAAGAGGTTTGATGATTCTTATCTTGACTGCCAATCGAATGAGTATAGTCTTCGCTTCATCTTTGTTTGTCGGATACTTTACTCTAACATGCATAATATGAGGATATCGCTCTCTTGTATTGTTCATATGGCGCTATACACTGACTATGTTGTGAAATGTCAACTTGCATTCCCGTGGAGTCTCTACAGTTTGGGCAGAAATGTCGATTATAGTATCGCTTATCCTGGATGCAGCATAGAAATGTTTCAAATGGCTAATAATCTTTAACACTTTGTCATATATAGTTGTTTTTCGGTGCCTGTCATATTACTTCATGCATTCTCAAATGCAATTAAGTAGAATAAGCCTCTATGACATAGATCTACCATCATATGGCTGGATTATTTGAATAACATATTGGGATACTTTGTTCTACGAGGATATAGGCTTTTACTCGTTGAGAGATTGTTATGTTTCAGAGATATTGTGATTAGGTGAAAGAATTTGAGTATAGGTTTGAAATGAGATAGGTTTAGCGGAGTAGATCAAATGGGAAGTCTAACTATAATAGTTTCAAGCCCACCGCTAGCAGATATTGTCCACTTTGGGGTTTCTCAAGGATTTTAAAATGCGTATGCTAGGGAGAGGTTTCCACACCCTTGTAAAGAATGTTTCGTTCTCCTCTCCAACCGACGTGGGATCTACCATGAGGAAGAAGAGAGAACCCCACGTTAAGAACTTTTCAAATGCACAAATAAAATTTGATCTGATCGAAACATCTCTGCATACGGGAAGCAATTTTTATTTCGAATTTGATCACAGCAGTTGCTTTTGACTTGTTCAATATCAACTATTATGTCCATTGATTAGTTGCTGTCGTTTGGCATTTTCACATTTCCATTTTATCCTTTGATTCTATGCAGATTGCTCGTGTTTGACGAGATTGGCAATGGAAGCTTGAGGGATCATCTTAATGGTATCATCGAGAACTGAGTTATTTGAATGCATAGTTTCGTTTGACATAGATGATTGCATCACAATGGTCCTTCTGTGGCAGATCCTCTCAGGACTCCCTTGAATTGGAGGGCGAGGCTGCAAATAGCCGCAAGTGTGGCTGCTGCCTTGGTAAGTTCTCTAAACTTAACGACACTGTTGTCACTTGATATATCATAAGTGAGTTCCCATGACCTCCTCGAATAACATTCGAAACAAAGGGCTTAAAGCATCCATAGTTAAATTATCTTTGATGCAGGAATACTTGCTTCTTTTCACCGACCCCCCAATGTGTCATGTCTCCATTTCCTCAAACACTATAATGTTAGATGAAAATTTCACTGCAAAGGTACCGAAATAATCTTTGGAGTTTCCTCGCTCGAATTTTGCGAAAAAACATGTTAAAATTCTTCCTTTTTACCTGCTCAGATATCTGATGTTGGCTTTCTCTACTCCCCGGTAAGCAGCGGTGATCAGGCAGATGCATCAAAGGCAGATGGTTAGTTTTTCAAATAAAGAAATGGGAGAGATCTGCAGTATCATTCTCCCCATGTTTAAGATTTAAGATTGAAGTTTTCGTTGTCTTCTGATAACCACTGCAGATTTCATGGATGAGAAATGTGGAAACATAATTTACCAGCTGGGAATCCTAATCCTGGAGCTCATAACGGGACAATCATCAGATGGGACAAGCGGCGATCTCATCAAATGGATCCAAGGGAAAAACTTTGCGAGGTCAATGAACAAGATGATCGACCCTGATCTGGGAAATAGTTTTGACAACAAAGAAGTGAGAAATCTTCTATCAATAGCAAAGCTGTGTGTAAAGTCCAGAGAAAAGCCAAGATTCTCCATTCCACAGATTTTCCGGTATCTGCAGAGTAAAGTAGATGTTACTAGCACCTACTAGTATTTTCTTCTTCATTTTTTATTTTTATTTTTATTTTTATTTTTTGTTTCTGTTTTGTTCACGACTTATTTTCATACCCACGTAAATTAAATTATTTTATTAGGAAAAAGAAAAAAAATCTATTATTCTGTTCCTTCTTCCTTCATGAGTTCATATAAGAAAACATCTTTTTGGAGGTACACCTTGTGAGCTATTCCGGTGAACACATCATATTAAATGACATTTGTATACTGTAATAACAAAGGCTATGAGAGGTTGCCACGGCTAATGGTAAATAAATTTGGAAGACGGTTTTCAAAAATAAAAAATTTAAATTTTGATTGTTATCTAATGGGTAAACTATGTATATATATATATATATATATTTGTTAAGCAAATTATACAATGACCCATTCTGCCTCCTCCAATAACTACTTGAATTTACTGAAATGTCCTTGTTGAACTTGAACTCTCTGTTTAAATTTACCTGTCTTTAAATTTAAACTAGTTTAAGGAGGGTTCATTAAATTATTAAATTTTAAGTTTACATATTCTTAAATTTCTAATTTTAAATACAATAAATCAATTAATTTTTTGTTTAAATGTCATTTAAAATTATGAGCTATTTTTACCCGTGCTCATAAATGTAGACTAAACTTGTAATATAGTCTAAATTTATTTCAACATGAAGGGTATAACAATGACATAATATCTACCATTCAAAAGTACAATGACATAATATCTACCATTCAAAAGTGCGAATAGATAAATATTATTACTCGAGAAATTATGATAGAAAAATGAAATTGGGATGGAAGATTCAATCTTCATTCATACTCAAACATTTAAATATGATACAAGCTATTCATTCATACTCACACCATTTAAATATGATACAAGTTACCAACTAATATCTAAGGAAAATATAAACTAACTAAATATTGAAAATAAAATAAAATATATTACTAATCAAATCATAAAAGAAAAAATAATAATTTATTATAAATATCTAAAATATATTTTATAACTAATATATTATTCAAATATTAACCAACCAATTACGAAGATTTAACTAATTCAAACTAGTAATAATCAACATTAAATTCTGACGAATAATGTATTATTCATTAGCACAATGTTTTTTCCCCGAATTCATTAACAAAAATAATAATTTATATTATTCATCAGCACGAATAATATAAAATATACCACTAATCAAATTTTAGAACTCAAATTATTATTTTTTTTTTTAGTAAAATGGTAATAAATTAGCGTAGCTAATGTAAAAAATAAAATAATAATAATAATAAAAACAGTGATATTAATTATTATGGTTAAAAGAGAGAGAAGAGCGCAGCTATATTTAGAGGGAGATTTTAGAAAAGGAATACGTATTTTCCCCCCGACACAGATTTGGTGTTGAGGTATGTTTTATTATTATTAATAATCCAGATTACTCGATAAGTTACAAAACCACTCCGAAATCATTTTTCAAATCGCCCAAGGATAAAGAGTTTCCACTTCTTTCAATCCCGATTCCTCTGCTTTACATCCGCAAATCTAAAAGGCGTCTGGAAAGCTTCCAATAATGGCGACGGTGAGGGTCTTCGTAACAGTGCCGATGGAGCTTCTGCTCTTGCTAATGGCGCTGATGCTTCACTCAGAAGCTGTGAATACGAACAATGTATACCAACCTTGTGCGGACACCAAGATTCAGAGGTCTGACGGATTCACTTTCGGAATCGCTTTCTCTTCCAGGGACTCATTCTTCTTTAACCAGTCCCATCAGCTCTCGCCGTGTGACCGTCGTCTTTCTCTGGCATCGCTCAACTCACAGCTTGCTGTTTTCAGACCTCGAGTAGACGAGATCTCCCTTCTCTCCGTCAATACTTCCGATTTCTTTCCGGTACAAACTCGATCTTGATTTCATGATTCGGATTATTTCGAATACTCACTCAGATCAGTGTAGTTTCTAATTTGGTCGAAGTTTTTATTCCGGTTTTCCTTCCAGTTGTAGACGTTGGTAGAAGTAGGCTATATTCTTCTAGTTTTCACGTGGATTTAGCATAGGGATTCTTGATGTTACTTTATTCTTTGAATCGAACGGCCATCTTGTAACATCCTTTATTACTTGGTTGTATCTTTAGCAATCTATGAAACAGTGTCTTGTCTCTCAATATCAGATTGCTCGGTATGAGTTTAAAAACTTGTTTGACTAAATGTGTAGATCGGTAGTCTACTGGTTCTTCATCCTCGCTTCCCTCTCTTGGTTGGTTTTAACTTCGTAATATATGGCGCAATGTTTTGCCTCTCAGTGTCAGATTACTTGTTATGAGTTTATTGTTTGATGAGACGTTCTCATGGAGACAATTAGATAGATAGCACCTTCACGTGATTCGTTCTTGCTTCCATCTCTTAGTCGGTTATAAGCTTGCAATCTATGCCACTGAGTCTTGTCTCTCAATGACCGGTTACTTGGTATGCTTATCAGATCTCGTTTGAGGAAATGTGTTCATAGAGGGGACTGGATAAGTTTTTGTACTCTCCACGTCTGTGCTTAGCAGATCAGTATTCATATGGCATTTATAGAATGATGAAGCTTTACAGTTATGTAATGGCCCCTGATTAATCAAATGTCGAATCTGACTTGAATGCATCCCTAATTGCTAAAGAAGAATTCCCTGCTTAATGCAACATCACTATAAGTAACAGAAATAGCCATAATTCTTGATGCCTCGCTATTTCCAGGATACTTTTGGTGGTTACATGGTGGCATTTGCTGGAAGAAAGTATGCTGCAAGGTCTCAGCCTGCCTTTGTCGCTAATGGCACATTCATAGTGACGAGTTTCACCCTGGTAAGATTTAAAATCTCTGCAAGTAGATGCTAGAGAAGTTGTAGGTTTTGTTAGAAATAAAATTAAGCTGATGAATTCACATAATCTAATGAATGAAATCGATTTTGGTGAGAGCAGGTACTTGAATTTCAGAAGGGCAGGCTGCAGAACTTGTACTGGAAGAGAGATGGATGTGCTTCGTGCTCAGGCAAGTCCAGATCTAGTTATGTCTGCCTTAACAATCAGGATTGTGCCATCAGAACATCAAGTTGTAGAAACCGAGGGGGCAATGTGGATTGTAGTCTGGGAATACAACTGACGTTTTCAGGCACAGATAAGCATCTTGCAGCGCTAAACACCTGGTATGAAGTAAAAAACCTTCGACAATATTCCCTCTATAGTGTTTATTCAAATCTCATGGATTCTCTTACTGGTCAGTATAATAGGTTCTTCTAATTAGTTATTCATCATACTCCTCTCAAGGTCTGTCTTTGGTCTATAACTTCTATACATTTTACTGTTTGTCATGGGCTCCCTGCTTGGCTTTGATATCCATCCTTTTGCGGCCCCCTTTGCTTTGTATGAGACATCCCATTTGAAAAAACTATTTGAACCAATTACTACCATTTAACATAAACTCCTGCTGCTTTGTTTTGGGAAATGCTTACTGAAATTATATGGGATATATTTGATTATGAATTCACAAGCAGTTTATGAAAATGTAAGTTGAGAACAAGAAATTTGTAACCGTCCAAGCCTACCGTTTAGCGGATATTATCTCTTTGAGCTTTCCCTTTTGGGTTTTCCTTCAAAGTTTTAAAAACGTATCAGCTAAGTTGATGTTTTCACTCTTTTATAAAGATTGTTTCATTCCCAACCAATTTGGGATCTCACAAAATTGATCAGGAGTGTTGGTTGGTGGAGAACAACTAAAAGTTTGTTTTTGTGTTCTCAAACTTGTACATTTGCTTTATATTTCCTCTTCCATCTTTTTCTCTCTGCCATTTTTCAATCTTGTAGTGTATTAAGTTGATTGGTTTTGAAGGCTATCTCAGTTTTCTTCTTCTTCTTCTTCTTCTTCACTTGACTATTTTGATTTGTATTGAATGTCCTATGAAGATTGAAGAAATAGTGTGCTTTCCTGGTTTAGTTGATTGGAATTGAGTGTCCTATGAAGTTGGGTGCCGGCGGCATCTGTTTAGTAAGGAGGTTACTACAAGTTTGCTAAATATATAAGCTATAGAACTCAGTTTTTGAAGTGTACACATAGAACTGCCTGCTAACTTTTATAAACTATAAGCTCGTAATACTTCCTCGGAACCAAACAAAATTTAATTCTCATTTAATAAGCCACCACTCTTAGGTGGAATCATCGAACTCTAGAACTATAATTAGAATTATATTTTCAAATAGGGCGGAGTAGTTGATCATATGTATGAGTTGTAGCTTTAAAATACATTAGTAAGTTCAGCTGTAGTTCCAAGAAACCTCTAAGGTTCTACAAAATGATTTTTGTATTAATTAGTTTGTAACTTCTCCCACCTTATTTATCTTTTAGTATATGTTTAATTTTAATTTGATGAGCATAAATACCATCAATCCTAGTATGCAATCTAATTTAAGTAATTTATTTTCATAATGCAATATTTGTCTGGCTTGTTTTGTAACATTCCATATTAAATATTAAATGAAGTTGCTTTGATTGTGTTATCCCAAAGAACAAGCTATAAATTATTTGTCAAGCTATGACTATCTCAAATTACGTGCCATTAATTGACTTCCAACTTTTTTTTCTTTCTTCAGGAAGTTTTGAGGAATTGACCTCAACGTTGACTGATTCATAATATGTTTTAATTGACCTTAATTATCTATAGGAGCATTTATTCCACTTATAAAAAATCTTAAAATCCTCCTCGATAATATCAATCCTCTAAATAAAAGTAATATTGATATGGTAGACAATATAAAAATGCGTTTATTAAGTAGAAGTGGTAAAAATTTTATTTTAGTTTTAAACCCTAAGAAAAAAAATACTTTTTCATTGAAAAAAACATAATATATATATATTTAATACACATGTATATATATATATATATATTTAGCTAGGGTTTGATTGTTATTATTTTTGGTAGGGGAATGTTTTGAGTTGCATAAAAAGCTTTGTTTGTAGGGCAAACAGCTGCCCCCAAACAGAATGGCAAAGATTCACTTTTCACATCCCTACCACCTTATGTTCCCTTTACATCACTTTTTTTTCTTCTTCCAATGAACATGACTATATCATCTCTGCTTATTTACAACAACAATGTATAGAGTTAAAATAATCAAAATTATGGAGATTAAATTAAAAATATTTTAAACTATATAAAGCAAAAAATATAAAAAAAATCATTTTTTAATTTTTTTATGCAACTATCTCTATACCTACATTTGATAAAACTTATATAAGCAAATTAGTAATTTATTTATCTTTTAACATTGCTCAAAATGTAATGTTTAGAATAAAAAAGAAAAATATTTAAACCAAATTACTTTTATCTTTTTAGAAATATAAATTCAAATATTTTATAGTCTTATTAAGAAAAAATTACTGCTTTAAACCAAATTAAAAATAGTAAAAAGTCATTCCTAAATTTTGTCAAAATAAAAAAATAATTGGTCCGAAAAGTCAATTTAGAAATAAAGCATTCAATTCAAACATACTTTGATATAAAATAAAATAATTTCACTTTAGAAAAAGTCGTTCGTTTAGTCTAAATTAATTTTGTTGTTTAACTTCTTAGTGAGCACATTTCAGTAATTACAATTATTAAACTAAGTAAATTAATTAATAGGATAAATGAACTCAATAATTTCTTGTACTGATATAAAACATAAATACCACCAACGGAAAAGACTTAAAATTTAATAAATCTTAAAATGAGAGAATTAAAAATTAAAAATTAATAAATTAAAGTAGTTGAGAAGTGGGATAATAGTAAAATTATTAGTACGGAAAACCATCGGCCAAACGGCCGCGCCAATCTCCGCCGGTATTGTTGTGGCCAATCACAAACCTACGCGCCATCTCCCGCGTCGTCGTCAACACCCGACAAACTTTTGGGAAATAAGAACCGGTAATCACCGTTTATAGTTAAACCTATATTCCCGGTAAAGCCGGTGTACCTTGTGCCAGTTGTTCTACAACGCGCCGCCAGAGCTTAGATCTGACGGCCCAAAACACACTTTCCGTACATACTTAAACGGGCCGTCAAGCTTCAAAGAGAGAAACAACGGCGAGGAAATATATATGTATATATATATAAAACGAAAAATAACTCGTCGAAGCGGGAGAGATAGACATTCACTTATCATATCGTATAATTCGATTACATCTAGATACACACATTTTTTTAGAGAGAGATTGGGATTTTTTAGAGAGAGAGAGGGCAGGATTTTATTTCTGCCCACTTTTTCTTTTATTTTTTTTTTCTCCCTCAAACTTTGATGTGGGTTTGATCGTTAAGGGGACTTTGAAGATTGTCTTGTACTGCTCTTACTTCTTTTTGAGGGAAATAAGGCACAAAGAGGAAGTGATTTTGGGTAAAGGAAGTTTTTCTTTCTACTGCTGGATTTTTGTGCTCGGAATTTCTTTTTCGTTCTTTGTTAGAATCGGGAAATCGAGGATTTCTGCTAGGGTTTTGGGTATTGTTGTGTTGCGGACAACTGTGGGAAGTCCGGTATTGGACTTCTGTGGCGAATCGAAATGCCTGTTTGGAATTTTGTGTCGTCGGAATTCTAAATCCGATCTCCGAGTTTGTGGTTTCAACTGAAGAGCTGAATAAATGGACGTTGATTCGTCGATGGTTCCGGAGGCTGATCACGATCCGGCGGGGCAAAGTCACAGCACTGTTTCTTCGGCTGGTGGAGTGGATAGAGATCAGCTTAGGGAGCAACCGCAAGCCAGCTGTGGAACTCCGCCTCAGCCTTTGTCATCGCCTCAGCAGCAACAGGCCGCCGTGCAGATGCAGCAGACCACGGTTGTTGGGCCAAGGCTCGCGCCTATGTACTCAGTAGTAAACGCAATAATTGAAAAGAAGGAAGATGGTCCGGGTCCGCGGTGTGGCCATACCCTGACGGCTGTGGGGTCTGTTGGCGAGGAGGGGGCTCCGGGATACATTGGGCCGAGATTGATATTATTTGGTGGTGCCACTGCGCTCGAGGGCAACTCTGCGGCTTCAGGAACTCCATCATCAGCTGGAAGTGCTGGAATCCGTATGTTAATTTTGTTAACTATACTCTTCGATTGTTGAATTTATGTTCGGAGAGGGGTTATGGCGGTGTGCGTTATTTGGTGAAGTCTTTTTAAGCTCGCATTACTTCTTGGTGCTGATGGCGTTGGTGGGAGTTACTGCCATTTTGATTGTTCAGTTAAAAACCTTCGTTTCACTTGAATCAACCAGACATAATGTATTAATTCCCTAGGAGATTATCGTTTGAAGCAATCTTCATTTTGAATTTCTTTCTTCTGGAACTTAAATGTTGTGGTTTCTTGACATTCTAACCAGTCAATGCGTTGGTTCGTATGTACAAGTCTAACTTTGAGTGCAAACACATCTAGTTGGGAAGTTAAACCCTCCTGTTTTATTAAGGGCTTGGGATTTCTGATTATGTTTGAATCTTTGGATCCATTTTACTGCAATTTCATCGTGTTGTATAATTACTTTGTGATCAATCAAAAAGTAAAATGAAAAAACTTGTGATCAATAGGGAAGTCATCATCCCTAATTGTTGGATATTAATTCCTGTTTGCTTATTGTTGAGAAGGATGAATAGAATTAATAATACAAGTTCCCATGTAACTTAGTAATGTTTAGGTGGTTATTTCTTTTAATCTTAGCGAACTTGGCTGTGCAACCAATACGTGATAGCAAATTCATAGTTTACAGAAGAGTTAGCCATGTTAGTGATAGATATACCATGTAAAAACCCTTGATTGTTCAAGGCTGCAATTGCGTGAGTCTGTCCTTTTTTTGAGACAGAACAGCGTGTGTTGCACTTAAGTTGTATTTTTTTCACCCATACCCAAAATTCTGTTGTCTGTACTAGATACTTTAATCTTTTGGAACTAGTATGTGGTGCAAGTTTGCTGATCTACTTGTAAAGAATTGAAAATTTTTACTAGGTACAGCTCAGGATATTCAAACTCTTTTTTGGTGTCATAAATTATGTCAGCAGAGCAGACAACTTTAATTCCACTTCAGTTTTGTAAGCTGCAGTTTGATTTCACGGGAGCTAATGTAGAACGACTCTGCACATGGTTTTTGATCTAGAAAACTTTTTATGTTTAATGCTGTAAATTATGCTTATTTTGTAGTTCCTATGTTGCAGGACTTGCTGGTGCCACTGCTGATGTGCATTGTTATGACGTTTTAACTAATAAATGGTCCAGGTAAGTCCTAGACTTCATCTCCTCTCGCCCTCAATTCTCCTTATCTTCATCTGCCATTACTTCCTTCATCACACGTCTTGCAGAATTACTCCACTTGGAGAACCGCCTACACCGAGGGCTGCACATGTGGCAACTGCTGTTGGAACTATGGTAGTCATTCAGGTTAGCATTGTGGAATTTCGGATTTAAGTTGTATAATTTACTTG